GTATTAATTGACCATATATGTGTGGGTTTATTCTCGGCGCTCTGTTCTGTTCCATTGTTTGTCTTAAATACTTATCTGACTTGTATACTACAGCTGAGGATTGATTTCTGCCAGTAAAATTCATGGTTTAAAGGGTGTGAACCTTTTTGAAAATTTATAAAACATAAATGTAGGGCATGGCCCATTTCAAATGATCATCATGTAGCAGTCTTGCTTTAGCAAGGCTAGTTGATAATTGTAACTGCCTGAAATATGAGATGTGGCCAATGCTACTAAATTGACTGATTTTTATGGGTACAGTTGACTCCATTCCAGGTGACATTGCAGCTTTCCATATGTGGATAATCTAGTCCATTTACATGCTGTATTTGATTTTTCCCAAAATGTTCCAGCAAAGCTCTAATGTAGTAAAAGGATTAATTTGAAATATATCCTTCTGTCACAAGGTTAATTTGATGCAGTTTGTAAAAAGGCAGCATTTATTACTGATTCTATCTGTTGTTCTAACAGTTGTCATAAAAAAAGACAGGATTCTTAGGAATCTTGTCATAGACTAATGTGGCAGATTAAGCAGTCTTGAAATCTAGGACAAAGCTCAGGAAAACCAATGCTTGCAGAATTTTAGCAGTAAACTAGTTAAGCTAGTGCAGTGTCCAGCTGTGCTGGTGCTGGTGCTTTTAAATTCAGCAGGAGCAAGTTAGTTCATTTTTCATTCATTAACTCCTTCATGCCTTCATCAAACTTTTACTGAGACCTTGAGGGAAGTTGAAAAAGAAAACTCATAGCTTTATCAAAGTCTAATTTACATATCATAAAAATCTACACCTTGTTAAGTGTACAGTGCAGCGATTTTTTTAATTGTAAATTTATGGAATTGTGTAACCATCAGCACAACCCAGTTTTAGAACATTTTCATTATCCCAAAAAGTTCCCTTGAGTAAGTTTACAGTTTATCCCTGATTTTACTCCCAGCCATAGGCAACTATTAATTGACTTTCCATTTCTGTGTACTTCTTTTTTCTCAACATTTTGTGGAATCATACATGTGGCTTTTGGGTCTGATTGCTTTCCCTTAGCATAACATTTCCAGGGTTCATCCATTGTAGAATGTATCAGTACCTTATTTCTTTTATTACTGATAGTATTCCATTTTATTGATACACTACATTTTTAAAGTTTATATATTTTATGTTTTATTTATTTAGATTTTTAGAGAGGGGGGAGGGAGGGGAAAAGGAGGGAGAAAAACATTGATGTGTAAGAAAACATTGGTCAGTTGCCTCTTGCACATGCCCCAGCTGGTACCAGTCCTACAACCCAGACGTGCCCTGACTGGGACTTGAAACTTTCACTTTGCGAGATGATGCTCAACTCGCTGAGCCATGCCTGGGCCGTACACATACACGTTTATCTATTCTTCTGGTAAACAGCTGTATGCCTAAAAACTTGAAGTGATTTCCTTGATTGGTGCTTTTGAAACATTAAAACATTCACTGTAGATTAAGTGCCCCACTTAATTAAAAGAACATCCCCCAATACATTAATCATATAATAAAAGTTAGATGTGATAAATGACATGGAGGCAGCCAACCCATCACAGTAATGCTGGAGAGCATTTAGCAGAGACCATTCTGGGAAATAGGAGAGCCTGAGATGAGAAAATAGAGAGAGCTCCACTAAAGCAGGTGCCCCTTTCATTTTGCAGGAATTATCATATAACTGAATTAAGATGAGAAGAAATGAAAAACCTTAAGGTGACGTGGTTATAAATCAGTGCCTATAGTGTGCTTACCACAAGATAAAACACTGTAGATTCGTAAAGTTGGACATGTGTATTCTCCTTAATTTGCTAGTCTTAATTGAGTTGGATTTGGATTATAAATTACACAAGATCTCCTGAGATGTATCTCTCACCTAAATATATTAGCAAATCCAAATTCTGGGTTCCCTGAGGAGAGAGCTCATTTTGGTCATGTTGTCCACAGTAGCCAGACATTGTGCTGGGTGCTGGGGCAGCTAAGATGAATGAAGCATGATCCTTGCTTAAGTTACCAAGAGGAGACAGCTGTGAAAAGCAGAGCACTATCAGAGGGATCGGCCAAGAGTTGTAGAAAGAAGCTCAGAATGAGGAAGCATTCAGGAATGCTTCCTGGAGGAGGAGACCATTTAGCTAAGTCTTAAATGACCTCAGGTTAAATAAGCTCCGGTTAAATGGTGAGGTGAAAAGGAAACACGGGGACTGTGTTCTTGGCCTTTGGCAAGACAGTCATCATAATGAACTAATTATAGGACTACTGCCCACCTGGGTTTTCTGCTGTGTTAGGTTGACTGTGACTTGTGTGCATCTGGAAGGGAACAGTGCTGATGTAACCCAAACCTCAGGGGCTGGGTTTATGCTGTTCTCCTGCATTCCATTCCCTTTATGGGCCTGGTATTATCCAGAGTTGTCAGGGCAGTTACTGACTCGTGCATTGCAGCCACGCAAACTGACAAGGATTGCTGAGTTAATCTTTGTATTTGCAGGTGATTTATTTAAAGGTACAGGCCATGGTTTACTATGGAGAACTGTCAACACAGCCCAGGGTTTTGTTTTGGTTTTCTACCCTAAGACTGGGCCCTGGTCAGGCTGCATTTTGGTATGCCCCTGTTTTGGTTCCTGTGGAATTTAGATAGTTTTGGTGTCCCAGCTTTTAAGAAACCCTCAAAAATGTGAGTCTGCATAGATATGTAAAGAGACTAAAATATGAGGGTGACCCCAAAACCCAGAATTATCTGGAGGGCAGGCCCCTTATTGTACAGGCTTCCCCTGCTGGGTGAGTGTTCCAGGAAGCCATTTGTATCCGCGTTACAGTTGGCATTGTTGTGAGAGGTTGTGTTTGGCTTCAGTGGATTTTTTTGAAGACTCTTTCAGTACATTTGCCCATTTCCAAAACATGGCAGAAGCACTAAAAGGCATCAAAATTGATGAGTTCAAAAACTGTTTTCAGTAGTGGAAAAAAAGCCTCGGGAAGTGTATTGCATCAAATGGAGAGTACTTTGAAAATAACTGAAGTTTAAACATAAGAATAAATGCACAATTTTTAATAAATTCTGTGTTTTTGGGTTCCCTCTTGTATGCACATATAATACTTAAGAGTGACATATACCCAGCAAAAAGTGTTGTTTCAATGTTGGGGAATATTCTGGGAACCGTGATTCAAGGTTGATCAACTATTTACATACCCACTGAAAAAGCATTTGTGTAGTGCATGTCATGTACCAGGTGAAGAAGAGCCAGGAAGACAAGGTAGGACTTGGAAACCAAATAGTGTAGTTGAGGACAAGTGTTAGGTTTGGGATGCCAAATAGGCTTCTTTCCTGTGGAGGGCCAGCTTTGATCATTGGCAGTGGTAGCCTGGAATGCTGGAATGGATTAATGATGTCTCTCATGGGCACAGAATTGAGAGTAAAGTGTGTAAGTGCTGGTATTTGCTGGTGCTGTGTTAGGGTTTTCTGGTGTAGACAGATGACTTGAGTAGAGGTTAGGTTTGGGAGAGAGAGTACTTTTGTCTTAGAATAAAGCATGTTTGTCTTGGTGGTATGCGGTGTAGCAGAAACTACCTTGGATCAGTGTGGGGATGTGTAGGGCTGGAGTACAGATGTTGTTGCTAATTGTGTACTTATTGTATTCTGTCTCTTAAATATATTTATGCCTCAGTTTCTTTAAGTGTAAAATGGAGATGATAATACTTACCTTAACTATGTGATAATGTTGATAAGAGGAGCTAATTAATGAATCATGGGTATGAACATATTTTACCACCCACAGAACAATAAATCCTTGGAGTATTATTATTACAGGTGTGGGGGTAGGTGGAGCAGGAAATTCCTGCAGTCAGGCAAGGTCGACATGGATGGTGGTGGCCGCAGGGCCTTTGCATTGAGCCTAACCCTCTGCACAGCCTGTTGCCTCCTGTCATATCCAGGTTTTAACTCCAAGGTTACCTCCATTCAGGCCACAGAATTTAAGCTGATCCAGGCCCTGTCTCCGCTTATCACCTCATTGTTTTATTTTTTTCAAAGTACTCATTAACTGAAAGGTTTGGTTAGCTTACTTGTTTGTGTATCTCCCCCCATTAAAACTATGCAAACTTGGGGGGCAGAGACCTTGTGCATCTCACTCCCACCTGCATATCATGAGAGCGTAGAATAGTGCCTGGCACATAGAAGTTCAGGATTTCTGAACTTTTGTTGCACAAGTGAATGGATCTCTGAAATCCACACATCCAATTGATCTGGGGGCCCAGGAGTGTTGGGAGGATTGTTAAGAATAGAGCGTAGTTGCTGTGACCTCATCTCTTTGCAAACATGTTTCTGAATCTCCCATTTCTTTGGTTATTGAGAAATGAATTCAATTAAATGCACAGTAATTGTAACTTCAATGAAAATTTCATCAACTCTGGATCTGACTTCAAATGTAATCTCTTACAACAAAAGAACAAGAATCAGAATTCATATTATTTCTTTAGTGTATGTAACAGGCCATGAAATTGCACAATGTTTCCAATTTGGCAGGCTGGTGAATTCAATCTCTTAAAAGATAATCTTGTTCCTTAAACTACATGTGATAAGAATTTGAGTTGAAATGTGTGAATTGAATACAATTAACACCCAGCCCCTCCCCACACCAAACTGATTTGCTTCTAAATTGGCTCCCCACCCCCCTTCCCTGCTGCCTGGCACCAGCTCCATTTTCCCTTGTTTCTTGTGAATTGTTATTATGCTTTCACCAGTCTACTGATTATGGCTAGACCATATTGGGCTTCCCTGAGTTACGTGAAATGAACAGACATGGGGAGACGTGCGTGGAGTGCCCCAGGCAGTTACCTGCCTGTAAATCCGGGTGTCTAGTATGTTGCTTCACACCTGGCGACTAATTTGTTCCCTGGAGGTGCTGGGGCTACTCTGGTGGTTTCTCTCCCTTCTCTGGGTGGACTGATGAGTCACTGGTTCTCTCACAGGGTGACCTGTCTGTGTGCCCAGTTTGAGGCAGTCCTACAGCATGGCTTGAAGAGGAGTCGCGGATTAGCACTAACAGCAGCTGCGATCAAACAGGCAGCGGGCTTCTCCAGCAAAACTGAAACAGGTACTGCCTGGTGACCCAGAGGATGCTGTCTTTTCTCTTGCTCTCTCTTTTTATTTTTATTTATTTTTTACTCGTGAGCAAGGCAGTCACTGTGGGACTGGTTGGGGGTCGGGTGGGGTGTGGTGGTGCAGAAATCATGTGTAAGGATGTCTGACCTGTCCATAATGGTGTTGTCTGGCATCTTAATTTAAACAAAGTCATTCTTTGTGCAGAATTCTCAGAGCCACATGTAGTTTCTGAGGGGCTCAGGGGCCTGCAGCTGAGGTGCATATTTCACCAATGTGTGTGGCATTTGCTGGGAAATTAATAATCTGTTTTAATATTATGCATGGGGATAGCATAATATTTCATAATTAAATCTTCCTTCAATAACAGCAACAGAAATCACACAGGTCTCTGAGCTTATAAATTCTGCTACCATCCATTTTAAAGTTGTCAAAGCATTTCCCACGTGCCATGCTCCTGTGTCTCTGAATGACAGAGATAATGCTAATAATAGTAACTATTAACACATAAGTATTTAGTGCAAGCCTGGCACTTTGTTAGTCTGCTGTATAAATTCACTTGTTCAGTTCCCACAACAGCCTATGCAAAGTAGGATCTTAATTTTCTCCACTCTACAGATGAGGACACTCCTGAAGGTGGTTTGCTTTGGACCTGAACCTTAGACTGTATCCTGGCATGTAAAAACCACCCTATGTTGATGATCTAACCGACGGCTTTATTTTAAGCATTTAGACAGTTACTTGTTAGCTGGTTTCCAGTTGAATTGATTATCTGTCTAGCTACCAATGCTGCAGTAGTGCAATCACCTATATGTTATTTAAATGTATTTAACTGTTAAATGTGCTACCGACCAATAATGAAATAGATCTTTATGAAAACTGTGCAGTTGTGTACATGTTTGTTTTTATGCTTCTCTTCACATTGAATATTGACATTGAATGAAATGGGTAAGTGGGTTTAAGATGAAGTTAAATTTTTTTCCTTAAATTAAATCATTAGAATCACTTTTAGTATCCTAAAACATGACAAATTATGAATAAACAAGTATACACAAAAAGATACCCCTCCCCCCAAAAAAACCTGTTCTGTGTTCTTCTCTCCCTACATTTTAAAGAGAATGCTCTTTCAGATGCTGCATGTGGTTGTAACCCTGAATTCCCAAGTCTTTCTTGTTACTGTGATGGTGTTTAGTATCACTGCTGAGTAAAATGTGTAATTTTGGCTAGTCTGCCTCTTTTCACAGCTAAAAATCAGTCCTCACCATGTTTGGTGGGAGTGTCTATGGACATTCTCTGCTGATTGAACCTTTGCCATTCTTTTTTTTCTCCAACATTTTGGTTTATCTTCCTTTTCCTCTCTGCCCTTCAACACATCTTTGACTCCTGTTCATCTCCCCAGTTGCTCATTTTCAGAAATGAATGTGATTCTTGGCGGGGTCAGGGGAAAGCTGAAGGAGGGATTCCTGTCACTGCTGGTTTTTCTCCTGTGTTCTTGGGTCCCTCCTTTAAAAATCATGGATGTAGGGGGCTGGTCAGAGAAAAGCCAGCATCAACGGCCTCCGTTTTCCTAGAAACCACTGCTAACTGCATGGCTACCTCAGATGTCAGCCTCTGTGGTCTTGTGTCCAGATGCTTCGCTGGGCCCATGCACGGGGGTGACTGAAAGCACTGGGCTGGTTGAGGAGCTGTTCAGGGACGTAGCTTTTCCCACAGTCCCCTTCCACTTGCTCGGCCCTTGTATTTCTTCTCATTTCTATCTTAGCTGTGTCGGGGAGCTACCTTAATGAAACCGGTGAGGCTCTGGCTCTGCTTCCATTCAGGAGAGGACAGCTGCTGGCAGAGGCAACCCTGACTTTGGAGTCCGACTGTGAGGGTAACTCTGATAGGACCTTGGGAACATTCAGAGCCTTAGTTTATTTTCACTTGTAAAGGTGGGTAGTCTCATCTACCCAGGGGCTTGTCAGGAGCATTTAGTGAGAATTTCATGTAAAGACCTTCTTCAGTTTATAGCATCTAATAGATTGTTAACCAGTTGCTCTCTTTCCTCAGCAACTCTTTACCTTTAGACCTCTTCCTCCATTTCATCCCTCTTAAGGCTCTGGCCTTTTAGTCATGAAGAATGGCTCTTTCTGTTCCCATCTAGACTGGAATTCTTATCTTTTTGTTACTTGGCCCTGGTAATCAGAGAAATACCAACACGTTTACAAAGCATCTCCAGCATTCACATTCTTGCTACTTCCTGTATCTTAGCATGATTTCTGCACCTGCATCCCAAAGACACTGATGAACGAGTCTCTGGCTCTGTTTTCTGCTGAAGAGATGTCCTGGGCTGTCTCCTAGACAAATGGAAGAAGGGGAAACATGAACTGGACTAGCCCTTGCGTGGCTGCCAAGGGCTTTTGCCATCACTGTTGGCAGTGTTAATTAACCTTTCAACTGTGCAGCATAGGCCTTGGCTGATTAAAACCTGTTTCCTGCTGCTGAACGTGTGATTAAAAGCCTCACATGAGAGGGGAGCCTGTGGGCTTTCAACTGCTAAGAGCTGGGAAAGATTAGATCAATGGCTTCTTGAGGCTGTTCTTAAAGCCATTGGAATGACCTTTCAGGCTGAATGAAGATAATGAAATCTGGTGGAAAGGAGCATTGTTCTGGTCCTTCATCCCTGATGGCTGCTGGGTGAGGCCCTTTATGTAATTTAGCAGTTTATATCAGACTCTAGAGTCAGGCCACAGGTTTGAAATCCCTGCTCATGCATGAGGTCTCTGAGACACCCCCTCTTGGAGCTTCTGTTTCCTCCTGTGCCAAGTAAGGTTAATAGCAGACCCTTGCCTTGCAGGGTTGTGGTAGGGGATCCATGAGAAAGTGCCTGCAAAGCCCAGGCCTTGGTACAGCGCTGCTGGAGCTGGTGCTTGATGAAAACATGGCAGTAACTTTCCAGGGTAGATGATGGTGTTCTTATTTTTCGGATGATGACAGTGATGCTCAAATAAGTTAATAAGTTGCCCAAGTTCCCACAGCTGGTAAATAGCGGAGCTCAGCATTCCAAGCCAGGTCAGACTGATGTCAGAATCTTGGCTCTTCCCAGATCCCCCTCCTCTGTCATTGGGCCTCATGCCCATTATTGCTCTTCTGTGGACCACTCTAGCTTAGTTAATTGAATTGAAGCTGACAGGAGAGAATAAATAATGGTGAATTAATCCAAAAGGCTGTTGCATTAGCTCTGTTTACAAATGAGGAGCATTACCTTTTGAAGAGAGAAAAGCTGGAAAAGTAATAACTGACCAAAATGTTGTTGAAAATCACAGTACAGTAGATAATACTGACTCTGCCAGAGGCATGACTGCATTTGGTCATCTGAGGTTAGGGCGCATGAGGGACAAAGCTTGGAAACTGGTGCCCTGTACAGTGTACATAAATAAATTTTTTTTTAAAAAAGTTGCCAATATTTAAAAACTATGAAATACTATGTTGAAATGTGGGTTTCTAACTTTTCTTAAACTTGAAGGTCTGTGAATCTGGGTTGCCTTTGACTTTAGCTATTTACTTTGACTTTGGTGAGAGCCCAGTGTTCCTGCCCGCTGTAGACGGGGCGCCAGTGCTCCGGGTCACCGGTCTCCACCTCACCCTGCTGCCCCTGACGCTTGAGATAGAGTATTTGTTGCCAGTTATTTGTTGCACTTTTGTTGCTGTTCCCCCTGTTTTTTGCTAAAATTCAGAAGTTTTCAAGAGTAAACACCTCAGATTATAAGCCTTTGGGTCAGTGTCTAGAGTGCTGACACCGTTGTTTTGGTCCGTTTTCTCCAGTTACTTTTGGGGAGGGCATTTGTTAACCTTCTCACTTGGCTATAGCCAGAATAATATGTTTTATTTTCATCTGGATTTTGAATACATCTTGTCTTGGTAGATGCCTGAACTTAGTGTTAGGCAAAAATAATAAATTCCCTAATGTTTTTAAGCCATTGCGAATTCAATCTTTTACTTGCATCCCAAAACGTCCTAACTTAAACAACAGAGAAATGTAAGACAATTTAAAAAAATAAAGTAAAATGCCAATGCTCCACAGATGGGAGGAGAGATGTGATTAGCACATTAGTCTTGGAAATGATGCCTGGATGTTTTCTGCTCTTTCTGATTAAATGGCTGAACACAAACTGGCTTTCATAGTGTTTGCTAGATACTCCCATCGAGCTGCTCCTGTGACCCAGGGGATTGGTTAGACTCTTCATGTTCATTATGCTATTTTATTCCTGAAATGACTCTGCATAGTGAATAATAGAGTCCCCATCTTACAGATGAAGAAAATAAGGCTCAAAGGAATGAGATAATTTCCTTAATGTTTTAGAACTAGTGAGTGGCAGAGCTGGGATTTCTACTTAGGTCTACATGATTATGATTCTGAAGCTTCTACTTTTCTCCATAATGGCACATTATTTCCAGAAAGAGGACTCCCTGAGAAATCATAATCCCCCTAATTTGAATTCATGAGTAAATTAAGCATCAAGTTTTAAGCAAGTTATGATCACTCAGAGCCGAGGTCAGCAGAGTATTGATATGTACCTCCTCCTATTTTTAAAAATTATATTTTATTATTTATGCTATTACAGTTGTCTCAGTTTTTGCCCCTTTGCCACACTCCCTCCTATTTTTGTCAAGAAAGTTTTATTGGAACACAGCCATATGCATTTATGTATTTATTGTTTATGGCTACTATTAGGCAGAGTTATGTCTGAGGCCATCTGGCCCGTAGATTCTCACTATTTGGTTACTATTTGGCCTTTTATAGGAAAAATTTGCCAACCCCTGTCTTAGAGAACAAAGGGCAGGGGATTCCACTTTATGTTACCATCATACCGTATTTAGTTGTCTGTTTTACTTTCTCTTGACTTTCCAGCTCCTATCATAGTGTCTTGAAATATATAGGTTCTTCAATAAAAATACATTCCATAAATACATTTTGGTTGGAAGAATGGACATTAATTGATGTGCATAGTATTG